GCTACCTTGAACTGCGCCGCTTGACCTCCGTATATCCTGAGCTCCGCTTCGTACTTAGTTTGCCCCAACTACCCCGCCCCATTGCCGCCTTCGTGCCCCTTAGTTCGGTGTTGGTTTGCCTCGACCCGATTCCCCGCTCTGCGTCCACAGTCCGCTTCACTCAAGGGAAATCACATTTCCCTGGGAGAGCTGCAGGCAGCGCTTCGCTCCCCAGCCTGGCAAGCTGCCACAGGGCACAGATGCAGAGGAGCTGGGCCACCTCCCCTCCCCCACCTGGCTGCCTCCCACCAGGCTCAGTCTATTTGCTCCAAATCTTAGCTTGTACTGCTTCTCAAGAGTAGGAGAAAAGTGGTGTTCAAGGAAAATGCTGCCCAGGAGGAGAGGAAATACCTGTCCTGACTGCTTCTTCCAGGAAGACCAGGCACCCTGGTTCTGTTTGAGGGTGTAGAGATGTGGAAGTGGGGCTGATGATGTTGGTACATGTGAGGTGTGAGTAGAGAGCCCTGGGATTGGGCCTACCAACCAGGAGGTGCCCATCTGCAGAGTCTGTGTCCTAGAGGTCCCCAAAGAGCCAAAGAAAGAGCGAACAAAGAAATGAGAAGAGCAGGAAGCCGAAAAGGGAGAGGAGGGAGAGGGAGAAGAAGGCTTCCCAGCATTTTCTGAACACAAGTAGCACCTCCGAGCTCTTCCTAAACATTCACATTCACTTTTACCAATCCACAGACAGACCTGGAGACACAAAGATCTGTCACAGGCAGGAAAAGGAGTAATTTTTTCAAACTTAGCAAAAGAGAGAATGGAATAAGAAAGTAAAAAAGGTGAAAAAAAGGAAAGAGAAACAGGAGCGAGGGAATGGACTTTGTGGGATGGAGCGGTCTCTTTCACCAGAACTATGGCCATGGTCCACTCAGTCTGAATGTAATTACAGAGACTTAGGCTGACATAAATGGGGAAAGGTGTGTGTATCTGGGATAATGTGCAGGAGGAAGATGGGAGCAGGTGAGAGAGGGGAAAGCTTAGCAAGTTGTTCACCTCTTCTGGCTCCTATTTCAGGAATTATAGACTGTGGTCACTAACTGCTCTTGTTTGAGTTTATCTCAAGGGTCTGAGTACATGCCTGGTACCAGGCGGGCAGAAAATACATGTTTCTTAGTATCAACTTGTGGCAAGAATTTTGAAGTGAGGGAACATGAGAAGAAAGGAGGAGGAAGTCCCAGCTTCACTCCTTCCTCACTCAGCTTTGGGGCAGCTCTGCCCACCTGGTGGGCCCAGTCAGGGTTCCAGCTGTTCTGTCCTCCAGCTAGAAACCCACTGTCTGCCCTTCAGTGGCTGCCTTATTCTCATGGGCTTCCTGCAAGCTCCTAGCATCCTGGCTGGGCATGGCTAGTCCTAGGAAGCAAGGAGGACTGGGAGAGGAGCATGTGATGGGACCTGGAACAGCTACCTGGAAAGCCAGGTCTAGCCACGCAAGTAGTGAAAAGGATTGTTCCAGGGGCAGGTGGCTTGGTATCTTGGGAATGTCTCAGGTCTATGCCTCATCTCCAGTTCTCTCATCAATGTACACCACTCCCACACTCCCCACAGGAACAAGGAGTTCTGATTACCCTGAACAGTGAAAAAGCCTTCCTTTACATTCAGCTACCCACAGATGCTTCCTTCATTGCCCCAGGTGAACATGGCTTTCCAGCTTAGTCCCAGCAGCCTCCTATGTGTCCTCATGTCCTTGGACTCACATCCTTTTTTTCTTGTGCCTCTTTCATATGCCAGCCAACTTCCCAACACCACGCACAGTGCTGAGGTACTTCAAATTGTTTCTAATACCCAACACATAAATGACTATATTTTCATGGTTTGACCTTGGATGGACTATCTAGACAGGTCCTGGTCGGACCTGCTGCTCTTAGGTCATACCGTACAGTGCCTAAGAGCAGTCTTCATCTGCTCTGAGCTGATTGTCTTATGGTAACCAGGTCAGCTCAGAGAAAGGAAGGTGAATTTGTACCAAGGTCAACTTACTAAAAGTATAGCCCAGTCCTTTCATCATTTGGGATTTGGGGAGATTTTTGCCAGGGGTATACAGTGTCCCCAGAGGAATTTTGGCTGTGAATGCAAAGGTCAATGTGCAGACTCCTGGAGGCCCCCAGCCTCCAGGAGTGATTTTTGGGTGGGAGGATGTCGTAGGGCACTCAGAAACCCAGATGTTCAAGGTCTTGAGGCGCTTTGGACACAATGACCTGCCAAGTTCATAGCCAGAGGGAAGTCCTGTCATTGAAAAATGAGCTTTATTTCCTATCCCCCCTGAACAGTAAGGGGACAGGTTTTCTTCACAGGAATTTGTACCCCTTGTGGTAAAGCTATTATCATTGCCACCCCTGCCCTGTGAGCATCCCTGGCCTCTCTGGAGGTAGCAGCACTGTCATTCCACCTCTGCTCTCCCCATCTTGGATTCCTGGGAGGGATAAGGAATCTCCTTTCCATCTGACTCAACCCCAGTGCCTGCCAGGTATCCACATTAACCTGGACACCTTGACTTCAGGGTCTTTTCTCTCGTTCCAGCTGGGTTGCATGTGGAGAGGAGGTCCATGCAGATAGCCCCCAGTGGGCCAAACTCCTGTGGTGAGCAAAACCCTTGCTGTCACACGGTATCCTTCTTTTCTCCTAAATTTCCTGGAGGAGCTTTTCCTAACTCCCTGAAGCCTCCCTCCCCCTTGGGAACCGCAATACCCTATGCTTCTCTATTGCTCAGTCAAGTCAAATCTTGAGAATTGAACCAAAAGATAGTAAACGGTTGGTGGCACCCCACAATCTCCCTAGGTGTAGAACCCTCTAGTATCCCTGATGAGGGCCCTGCATTGTTGGATGAGAGTGCAGGAGTTAGGGTAAGAAGAATTGCCCCTACTTCTCACCTTGGGTACACCATCCATTTCTTTCAAAGTTTCAATTTCCTCATATGTAAAATGATGCTGATCCCAAATTAATTTACACAATACCCTCCACACCATTCCTGGCGCACAGGAGAGCCTCATCTTCTCCCTTCCTAGACGGAAGCACCATGGTGCCTACAAAACTTGGTCATGTGGGCACCAGTTTGTAGCTACTCCTGGATCATTCTCCAACCCACCTTGCTGGTTCTCTGGCTTCCCATTGTCTTGGTACAGTGTCATGTGCTTCATTTTTTTCTTTTTTTGGCGGGGAGTGGTACTGGGATTTGAATTTGGGGTCTTGAGCTTGCATGGCAGGCACTCTTCCACCTGAGCCATGCCTCTAGCCCCACATGCTTTTTTTTTATGTTCACATTTATGTAGATTGGAAGATGTCAAAGGTTGGAATAATCAATACCCAGTGTCAGACATCTATCAAGTGCAGAGGGAGAATGCTAACTCAGGGCTCTGAGGATTAGATGGTCCTTTCTCACCCACAGCCCCAAAGTGAGTTTGCCAGCCACTGGGCTTTGAGTTCAGGAGGAAGCCCAGCCCTCTGTGCCTCCTTCTCCAGCCAACCCCAAAGCCTAAAATGAAGAGCAATGGTTTATTGAGTCATATGGCAATGGTGAGAAGCATCAAGGAGAAAAGCCCAACACAGTGGAGAGACAATTCACTTGGAGGCCAAAATATGGGGGATGGAAAGTAGGAAGCTTGACCCAAACAGAGCTTCATTTACAGTATTTACAGTCAGGTTTCAGGGGCAGGAATTGCAGGGGCCAGAGAAGGAACCTTGTTTCTGGCTTCAGAAGGCGGCCTCAAGGTCTCTTCAGTGGCTTTGTGGGCTGGAGTTGTAGGAAGCACACTTGACTTGGCAGGAGCTGTTGGAAAGGGGAAGTGGTCCCCACCATTCTGCCTTGTTCTGCCATGGGCAGAGCTGCACCGCACCTCTCAGGGGCCTGGGCCCTTTGGAAATTCCATTTCCAGCTGCTTTGAACTGGTTTGGCTGACAGCAGCTGCCAAAGGGATGACCCAGTGGAGCAGAGACTAGGGTGGTGCTTGTAGGCTCATAGCAGCAGGCAAAGGGAAGGTCAGCTGACAGCCTGGTGGAGTTTCTGATTGACTGGGCCAGCCCTCCCTCATGCCTAGGAGGGAGGTACAGGAAAGGCCAAGCAAGCTGAGCAGAAGGTGGCAGGAGGTTGAAAGAGGTGACTCTCAGTGTGACTGATTGGGAAAGGCTTGGCCTCGGGCTGTGACTTGAAGGCTGGAAGGACTTGTTTACTGTCCACAATTGTTGGAGTTGTGTTGATGAAAGAGTCACACAAGGGCTCCTGTACACCCCTTGGCCCAGGGAGGACAACATACACATCCCCCTCAAGCTCCTTGTACTCCATCTTCTCTCCTTAGGTGGGCACCAGCCTGGGCACGTTACTCCTTCAATTGGGTCTCTTTTGGAATGGGCTGGTTCTCTTTCCCTGAGACTCCTGCCCCTCATTAAGGAGTCTTAGAGGACAGTCTGGCCTTCTCCAAGGTCATTCTGTCTTTCATGGTTCATTAAGTTAACCACAGAGTGAGTGAGCCGCAATGCTGGAATTGTGGTTATTTTTCATGTAATAAATAAAGATTCCTTTGTATGACTCTCCAGGGCCTGTCCCAGCCCGAGTCCTCCTGTTGCCCAGTGGCTCCCACTGTCCCCATGGCAACTACAGATGGTCAAAGGCTGTGGCAGTGGTGGGTGGCGCGCTTGGCCTTGATGTGGAACTGTAATAATATGGGGAACCTGGACACATTAAAAAAATAACAACACTGCTGGTCAGAGGAGGAAATTGCACCACAGCCTTCCCTGCAAATGCTGACCTGTAAGACAGCTTGTGTTAATCATTTATCCCCTGCCTATCTGATCATCAAAGATTAACTCCTCTCCAGCCCTGCCTGTTTCACCCTTCTTTGGCCTTGCCTTTGAGTTTCTGGACAGAAAGAGAATGATGGCTTCTTGCCCCTGTTCCCCCATGTCTGCTTTGACCTTCAACACCCTGGGTCCATAAAAAGGGCAATAGAGAGCAGCTGCATATGGAATCCCAAGAATCAAGCACACTAGGGGTCATCAGGATCCTCCTCAGATTTGCTTAAACAGTGGCAGATCAGAGAATTTTCCTCTGAATACCCAGAGAGATTAGACTCCCCACTGGTGGAAGCAGATCTAGGACCTCACAACAGGTTTGTATACCTACTGGGTGAGCATCCTGGGAAGTCTCAGCAAGAAAGTGCCCCAAATACCCTTTTCCTTTCTGGCTAAAGTGAATAGGTGGATTGGAGTTGAAAACATCTGGCAAACAGAGCCCACATCAGGCTCCTTCCTAGTTATTTCTGGAATGCTAGGACATAACAATAGGAGGGGGGTGGGTCTTAGGGAATATGCAGTCCAGCCAGCCTGCAATGATGTCTGAAAGGCTGGCCACCTTGGGGCTACTGGTTCTCTTTGGCTCAGGTTTGCTTTGACTCCCTCACAGCAACAACTCTGGGAGGTCCTAGTGACAGCTCTCAAGTTTCCCATTTATGGTCTTCCTTTCCTGACAAGCTTCTCTACTCATCCTGGAACTCCAGGGCAAGAGAAGGGAAGTGCAGCTTCAAAGCTCACTGAAACTCACTTTCTGGACCTTGATTCTGAATGCTATTTCTAAAGCCAAATATGGAGAATTTGGTGGAATAACGTTTTCTGTATAAGAGTTCTGGTGCTGAATCATGATTATGTGTGACCAACCCAATTATTTGGTTAATGGGGGCAACAGGATGGCATCTTGAAACCAGCTCCCAGGAAGAAGAGCAGCTAGGATGAGTGCAGGGTGACTCTGAGACAATGTATGCTGTTGTGGGACCTTAACTCCCTGCAGATAGGAAGGCCTCTCTTAGGCTATTCTTGAATCTACCCTTGCCCTCCCCTGCCCTTGCACTTCAGGCCAAAACCCTGAATCTTAAAGAAAACAAAGTTTACCAGACATTGCCTTGGGGAGCCAGAGGGAGATAGAAGCCAGGAAGTCTCTGTTCTTCTGTCCTCTTTCCCCAAATAACCAGGTACACTGCTCTTCTACTTTCTTTTATCACAAAGGACACCCATCTCCACAGGCTCTCCAACCTAGGACTTCCCAGCTTTCAGATAACTTTTGCCCTGGCCTTGTCCTCCACCCACCTTTCCCTGCCCAGCAGAGGGCCTGAGCAGCCCCAGGGACTTACTCAGCAAGCTGGAGTTGGGGAAGCGCCAGGCTTCGCTGTAGGAGGAGTAGGGGGTGTGGCCATAGGCGTTGCCAGAGTATTCACTTCCTGTTGGAGGCACACAGTGACAGGCCTGTGAGACTGATGGCACCAATGTGGGGATGGGGGGGTAGGGAGAATTGTTTGCAGAACTGGCAGTGGATAAGCCCGGGGAAGAATGCACAAGGAGGTCACAGGTGAAATCAGGGCAGGGATGGTGGATCTCAGATGACTTCTCCATCACCCCTTTGGGAACTCCAGAATCTGAGTTTCTTTGGGCAGTGTCAGGCACTGGAGGTGCTCCCCTGACAAACTGTAGCCTTCAAAAGAACCCCAGGAGGCAGATGTTATTATTATCTCCATTTTCTAGTTAAAGAAACTGAGGCTTTGGGATCTGCAGAAACTCATACAGCTTGGAGGGTCCAGTGCTGTGTGGAAACTATGCTGTGACTCTAAAGCCCTGATTCTAATTCTTCTTCTCTTGCTGCTTGGACATTCTGCAAAAAGGACTTTCCAGAGGAGCCTATGGCTGGGAGAGGGAGCTGAACAGGGGGAGGGAGGGGAGAGTAGCCAAAGAGGGAATCAGTATATAAGCACTTTTTAGCTTCCCTAGATATAAGTGTTTTGTTTTGTTTTTGAGAGAGACAGAGAGAGAACTAGCTGAAGATTAAAGATAGGAGAGGAAGAAGGGCCCTAGAAGGCACTAATCTCTTGGAGAGACTGTTCTGCAGCTTACTCTGAGAATGTGTCCCCACTTTAAGCAAACTCAATGAATGCATGAATTTATACACAAAGTAAACAAGATTACCTCCTTATGTGAGTGGAACCTTGGCTTTCTCAAAAGAGTGATTTACAAAAAAAATTGCTTAATACCCTTACATGATAGCAACAAAATCAAACTGACCACCACAACTCTTTGTATGGAGCTTAAAGTTTGCAAAGAGTTTCCCACACATCATGCCATTCATCCTATAAATAGAACACTTCTATGAACTATTCATCCATATAGCCAATTAATAGACTAGGAAATTGGAATACAACACAGGATTAAGTAGTTTTCCTCAAGTTACAGTGCTGATAAATGGTGGGACAGAACTTGACCTTAGAACTCTTGACCTTAAATTCCAGATAATCCCTATATGCACTTATGAGGCAATTTCATTTACAAAGCCAGGTTCCCACCAACCTTGAGATCCAGTGAGTGTCCACACAGTCTTTCAGAAACTTATCTGTGATTATGAGCTAAGTGCTTTCTTCTTCCCAGACTTTTGGGAAGTTTGAAACTCCCTGACTCTGGTGCCAGTCTGTCTGAAATCAAATCCCCATCTCCTACTTCCAGGCTGGATAAGTCATATAGCCTCTCTGAGCCTTAGTTTCCTCATTTGTCAAACACTGGCAAATTATTATTCCTATCTCATTGGGTTTAGTGAGGATTAAAGAGATCATACATATTAAACTCCTAGTACCATACTTAGAATATGCTTAGAATATAAGTAGCATTCAATGAATGTTGACATTTTATTATTACCTCATGAAACATGGGGTAAAATAGAGTTCAATGGAGGCTCAAATCAGTCATGCAACCAGTCTTAAGGTGAGGCTAGAGTCAGTGGGAGCTGCTTCCTTGCAGAGAACTAGGCATTTGTGCAGAAGGAATGAAAATAATAGGAGATTTTGAGGCAGAGGAAGACTACTGGATCCTCTTCCAGTCTAGGGAGTCCATGACAGGCATCAAACTCACAGTAGGAACACAGTAAGTTCTTTGGGGTCAGGACTGAGCCAAACACAGATTGGGCAAAAAATACAAGTACAAAAAGAAGTGGAGGAAGAAGGAAAAACAAGGAGGGAAAAGAAATAAAGAAAACTAAGGAATGATTTAATTCAACCATCCACTTAACAAATGAAGAAACTACTATATAGAGGGGAAATACATTCATCCCAGGCCATGTGTTCAATTAGAGCCTGAACTAGGAGCCTGGCTCCCTTGGTCCAACGTCACTGCTCGCTCTTATAGTTTATGGTGGGAACTGTCCCTGTTTATTGCTGGTGTACTCTAGTTTCCCTGGTTTAAGCAATTCCTCAGAAGTAGCCAGTTCTATACTGGCTATTCAGCAAGGGTCCTTCCCTATGCCTTTACTCCACTCTACCCAATGCCAAACACTGCAAGCTTTAAAGGACAAGGAAGAGAGAGGGAAAATACAATGTGTTTGCACTCTCATTTTGTCACTCATTCATGCATTTCACCCATAAATAAATATTCATTTATTTAACACACACTGCCTCAGTCACAGGAAGTCAGGGTGGGGAATGGGGCTGGGGAAGTAGTACACCCTTGGGTGTGACTTCTTTCCACCACCAGACCTACCAGCTTGTGTGCAGTCATGGAGGATGAAATGTCCCGGTGCCTATGAAAGACCAATCTATCTTCTTTGCTCTGCTTCCTACCCCACTCACCTTTCCAGTTGGCCTCTGTAATTATTCCCTCTTTCCTGCTTCGATTGTCTCTTCCTTTTTAATTCATCAATTCCTTCAGGCTACGAAAATTATTTCCTATCTAATATCCTTAAAAAATCCTCTTCCTGCCCCCATCCATCTCTGCTGTATGGTCTCTGCCTTCACCTTCTCATAATCTTCCAATCAGGCCAATGCTGATCTATGCAAAACGCCACAATCGTTAACCTGTCCATTCAAACGGTCACTTCTATGTCCTCAACTTCTTGGCTTATCACTCCCTCTTTGCCTCTGGGTGCCATCTGGCCTGCTTCTTAATTGCTTATCTTTCCTATTCATTCTCTGCTGGTTCCTTCTGTTAGAATTCTAAATTTTATTGAAGAACTTTGTTTAAGAGTCTTCTGTGAACTTCCATCCATATTCTCTTTTGCCTAATTCCTTGGCATTGAATAACAGCTTTGTACAATGGTAGAAATTTATACTCTAGTCAGGATTATTTTCTGACTTCCGACATATCACGTACCTACTAACATTATTAAACTGGATATTTAGTGGGTGTTTCAATCTTAATATGGGCTAACAAAACTCTTGATTTCCACCTGCCACTTACAACATCTCTTTTCTCCTAGTCTCCCACATGTATACTTGCCACCATCATCCATGGAGTTTCCCAAGCTCTAAGTCTAGGAATGATCCACATTTCATCTATTTTCTCATCCCTAATATAGCCAGTTCACTAGAAGGTTTTGTTGGATTTATCATAAAAATATATCATCAGTGTCTCCTTCACCACTACTTCCTTAGTCCAAGTCACTGTCATCTCTTGTAAGAACTACTGCAACTGGTATCTGTGATTTTTCTCTTGACAGTCTACAATCTTTTCCCAGAAGTCCTGAATAGTTTTTTAAAAGATGGCCTTGCTGCTACCAAAAATCTCATCTTATAGTGCCTTCCCTAACTGCTCACTATTCTTTGATATACTCATCTTCTTTCTGTGTGCTATCATGCTAAATTAGATCCTTCTTGCCTTAGGGCCTTTGCACTTGCTGTTCTTTTGGGCCAGGGATGGTCAGCCACAGTTAACCACTTGGCTAACCACTTTGAACAACTTCTTAGAGAGGCCTCCCCTGATCATCCAATCTAAAGTAGTTATCTCCTCTCCCTGTGGCTCTTTATTACATCATCACATTTTATTGTCTTCACATACTTATCATCATCTGATATTATGATTATTCATTCATTGACGTGATTGCTGTCTATTTCTCTCTACCATTAGGTTGTAAGCTCCATGAAGAGAGAGATATGTCTTGTGCAATTTATACTCCCAAAATCCCACACAATGGATTCTTACTTATTTGTTAATCAACAAAATGGAGAATGGATATAAGGGTGAAAGGATGGATAGAATGGGGATGATGAAAGTATTGATGATGGAAGGGTAGATGGAAAGATGAATAGGTGAAAGAAAGGTATATGGAAATATGGACAGATAGCTGGATGAAAGAATAGATGGATGAAAAATAAATGGATAGAAAGATACATATTTATACATATATCTAAAAATGGACAGATGGATAATGGGTGGATAGATGGATAGATGAAAGATGGATAGAAAATGAAAGGGTGGATGGAAAGACAAATAGATGGCTGGATGGATCCATTTATCTGGGTATGTTGGTTCTACTTTAGAACTAGTGTGAGGGTCATTAACTGTTAGAGGAGCCAGAATCAGAGAGAGTGAAGAGAAATCTATAACCTGATCTGAGAATCTGTGGCTTTCCCATAGTTTGTGTTTTTACTTCTGATATGGTGGGAGGCTGTGTTGAAGTAGAACAAGCTCTAGATGTGAAATCAAAGATCTGTGTTTGAACCACTCAGCCAATTAGTATTGTTTTGCTTTTCTGAGCCTCAGTTTCCTTATCTATAAAACTAGGATAACATCAGCTTCCCAATCTTATGGTGAGGAGGATTAAATAAGAAATAAAGTTATATGTGTGAATGGCCAGGTATGTAAAGGGCATAATAAATGGTCACTTCCTCCTTTCCACAACTGATTGAAGAATGTCACTGGTATGCCTAACTTAAAGCATTATTATGTACCTACACGCATGCAGTAGGTGCTCACTGAGTTTACGGACTTTAGTTGAAGGAGTCCCATTCAGTCAATTGGGAGATCGTAGGCAATGGTAAGAGACAGACACATAATTTTCCTACACTTCATTTGCAAAAAGGTGCTCCTAGGAACCAGGCGATTCATTTAAATGGTATAGCATTTTCTGAAGACTAATTTGCATGCAACTTATTGGAAGCCCATCCAGTGTGTAAGGCAAGGTCTCTCCCTTCTGCAATTCACTTGCAATCCATGTGGTAGTTGTGTGTGAGTGTGTGTTTCTTCACTGCAAGCCACTCTGGGTGAGGTCTTTCTGGAAACAACCTGGGGGACTTTGATGAGAGGCCTACACCTTGCAGTTACCTCACAGGTCAGACTCTTGGCCCCAGGAACCACTTGACCTAGGCCTGCCCTCAGAGAATGATTCATAATTAAGAGAAAAACGTTGCCTTTATGTTTCTTCCTCCTCCTCTAAGCAGGCAGCAGGGGAAGGTAGAAAGGTTGCGGGGTGGGGGGGCAACTGGAGCCTGGAATTTTGATTGAGAGGCCCCATTATCCACACTCTTAAAAAAATAACTGAATCTTTTCCTTTTTTATCTTGACCAATCTCATTTCACGCTCCAGAAGTGGAAGGGAGGGAGGGAGGGAGTCCAGGGCCAGGAGGGAGAGAGGAGTCAGTATTCTGTATTTTCAACGCTGCATTAAGCACATCGCCACGGTAACAGGGCAGCAACAAGTGCCAGCTCAGCAGGTTCCCAGGGAGCAGAGCCTCCTTCTCTCCCTCTTTCCCTCCCCTCCCTCTGCCCAGGAGAGCCCAGCCCACCTGCTTCTCTCTGCACAGGGTGCCCAGAGTAGGTGGCCAGCAAAGATTAACCCCTGTAGGGGGAAGCAGGCCTGGGTGAATGCACCAAATCTCTAGGGTCAGAGCATGGGAGACTGGCCCAGGGTTGGTATGGAGGTTACATATGACCTGAGTTCGAGCTCCAGGCTCCTAAACCTCTCTGGGCAGTGGAATTGAGTCAGTTCTATCCCATTCATCCCAGGGTCTTTCCCATATGGCTTCTAAAAGATTAAGACTTTCCCAAAGAAAATCCCATTTGTCCAGACCTTGACATCCAGGGTCACAACTGGATGATGACTGCAGACAAAGAAACCCAAATGATTGACAGGCAGGATTCCAGGATGGTCCAAATGAAGATGGAGAAATATTCTCAGTTCATCTCATACTCTATGGTACCCTCAGAATACCTAGAACCTGGACCCTACTAATTCAGGGTTGAGTGAGTGTAGGATGTGAAGGAGAATGTATTTTAATCATTTCTTCTTTATCATCGTCATCATCATTATTGCTATTCACACTCAGAGCTTACAGAAGGGCCAGGCTTATGTGTGGTTCATAGTGTTTGACCAGCTCCTAGAGCTGCTCCATTAGTATTCACTGATTCAGTGGAAGAAGTAGGGGAGCTTGGATTTGAACACAGATCTATCTCAGCCTCTCCCTTTTCATCATGGATAATAAATATGGGAGATCTGGGAAAAGGGAGGCTGAGCTGATTTGAGTGAAGAAGCCAGGATGGCACTGGGGCATTTTCTCAAGGTGTTTGTAAGAAGGTGTCTCCTTGGTCCATTTTTCAGTGACCTTAGAGTAGCCTATGAATGGGACACCATCTATCTCTAACCCTCTCTTGTCCCCCAATTCCTCTAACATTTCCTCTTTGCAGTGCTCCCCCACTCCTGCCCATGAATTTTCTCCTTACCTGCCACCATGCCTGCGATGGCAGAAGAGGCATAGCTGCCCTGTCCACTGGTGGGGATGTGGGGTGGATATCCAGGCAGCGTGGGCCCCACCATCTCTCGCCCTGGAAAAATACAGCAAAAAATCATTTGTTGGTGTATTGGGGGCTCCTGTGCATATTGTCTCATTTTCCTGAGGGTACCAAGTCTTTCCTTAGCCATTCCCACTTCCTTCAAAGTCATTCTCCAAACTCACTTCTGTCCTCTTCCTCTGGGATCAAGGTCTTGTCTCATCTCTCTCGGTTCTGAGTGCACTATGCAAAGGAGTACCTGCAATTGCAGATACCTTTTTTGTTCCCTGTTCTCCAGTGGTTTTACTTACATGAGTAAATAATAAGAAATGATACATAAGTATTATTTCTTAATCCACAAAACTGTCATGGTATTGGAGGCCAGGGGCTATGTCTTCTGAGTCTTCACCCAGGATAGTAGTAGGCATAGATGGCCTAAATAAATATACTAGAAGCTACTTGACTCAGAGCATCCCTTTGAGTCCTCACTTTCAGAGAGCTAAGAACAAGTCCCTGTGAAGGGATAACAGGTGTGTAGCCCCCTGGCCCATCACTCCCTTTTTATGGGCCTGTGGCAGACATTGCTAATCAACCACCATACCCTTTTCCACTGAGCCAGAGAGTGGGTTCTTACTCCTTGGTGGCCTTCTAGGCAGATATAATCTGTCAGTGTTACAAGGGACATGAAACCTATTAGTTATCCCTGATCTAAAGGGAGATGTAGCTGGGAGATATTAAGCTTTTACAGATAACCATGAACTGTACTACTGTACTGTCATCTCCATTTATGAAAAAAAAAAAGAAAACATTTGCAGCAAAACCATTCTCCCTTTGTCTATAATTTGTGGGTCATACCCACATCTGGAGACACTAAGGCAGCTCTGTAAATTAGACCCCATATCCCTGGCCCTGTCTGTCCTCCACATCAGGAAGTAAAAGCTTCCCATTTTGGAGACCCCAACTGACCTGGTGACCCTCTCCTATCTACCTCCTGCCCAAAAACCAGGACTTCTCACCTATTTCCCTTTTCTACTGACCCAATGTTCTGGAAGTCCAAACCAGAATCCTTCTCAGTCCAAGTGATAACCACTGTCAAAGCATATTTACTAATAATAGTCATTTTACTCTCAAAATGTTCCAGTTTGAATGATGAATTATTTGGTCTTCCTAATTTTTGGTAATGTCCACAGAGTTTCTCAGTCTCCACAATATAAACATTTTAGGCTGCTTAATTCTTTGTTGTGGGCCTGCCCTATGAATTTCAGGATGTTTAGCAGTATCCCTGGCATCTACCTACAATAGTCCAGTGGAAGTTGTCACCCAGTGTGACAACTCAAACTGTCTCTAGACACTGACATATATCCCCAGTGGGGAGGGAGTGAGGGTAAAATCACCTCCAGTTGAGACCTTCTGTTAGATTATGACTGCTTGATCCAAATGCCTTCTGCTTCCTTCAAGGGGACTAAATTTTTTGCTCCCAGGACTTACATGGGTTACCTGTGACCTTCTGTCCAGGGCTATCTCCTCTATGGTACTGCTTGTTTCATTTTCCTTCCATCTGCCCCCCCATCCCCCAATCTCCAGTTCTTCATACCTCAGCCCCCTTGAAAGGATGCCTGGTACTGATGGATGGGAAGATACATTCCATGAAACTCTGTAAGTTGTCAATACCACAGTGGCTACTTCTTATTTCTCTTTCTGGAGATTCTCCAGAACAATTATTTCATTCAACAAGTACTTATCAAATAAGAGTGCTAATTGGTAAGAATAAGCACTAAGTCAAGATAGGGCATAGGCTGGGAAGGGCATTTGGATCCAAGCCTAAGGGATCAATTATAAAAGACCTGCATATCCAACTTCTGCCCTTTCACTGGAGGGAAGAGGCTTGGAATCAGAGACATTGGGTTCCTTATCCTGCTTGTATAACTAATTTTCTCCCATCTAAGTACTAGGCATGATTCTGTTTAGCTTCTGAGGTCAGATGAGACTGGGTGAATACCGAGTGGTATGGCCATAGACCTGTGGTTAATTTTCTGTGTGCTCTTAGACTAGCCACTTATGTGCCCTCAGCCTATTTCTTTACAAGCAAAATGGGAAAAATGAAAATAGCCTTACACACCTTGGTACTCTTGGGTTATTATCATAATTCAAACCCAGGGTTTCATTCTCCAGATGGACATTGATTCTACACATGGTCACGTCAGTGGAACTCTTAAATAATAAATCCTTTTTGAAATCAGCTGCCAGTGTTCATTATTTAAAATGGTATGGAGATTTTGAAATACCTGAACACCACCCTTTAATTTGTCTGAGTTCTACTGAAGTATTCAGCTATGGTTGGTACTGAACCACAGGGTGGAACCCACTGGAATTCTAGAGGTAGGCTCTGTTCATCTGACACAGGGTCATCAGGGGAACAAAGGAAGGAAAAGTTGGAAAAACAGGTAAGGAAAAGGGAATTTTGATATATTTAAAAGAAGAAAAAACAGTCAGAAGACAGAACATGGTAAACCCTGAGTTTCATATGAAGACTACAATGTGATCAGCCCTCAGACAGCCTTCTTGGCTTGGGTGAAGCACCTGGCCAGGCAATGAACCAAGAGAGGGAAGGAGTTATGTAAAGTCTGTGAGAGCATGAGTACAGGATATAGGGGATGGATGAGTGACATGGCAAGGAGAGATGGAAGACAGTAGTGGCTGTCTCAGGCTTGTTGTCTGCTACTTTCTCCTTTCATTTTCCCTCTCTACTTTCTCCTTCTGAAAGATCGTCTCATCATATCTATCTTATCTTATCTATCTATATAGAGATAAAGGCCAGACCAAAGATAAATCCCTTGATTTCTGTAAACCATGTTTGCCTTTCTGCCACAGGAGTAGCTAACTTAGATGACAGCTTCTAACTTGGGTTCACCTTCTTCCTGATTGACTGGTAGAGGCTTCCTGGTATTGTGAAGTACTCTGAGGCAGCATCTGTGACTTCTGGGATTGGGGGTGGGGTAGTGGGACATAAGTTTTGGTTGTCAGGTCACCTATTTGCTAGTGCTGGCCTGGTGCTCCTCTGGGCTCCTTCTGGTCCTGGAAGCATGTTGTCCCCCTCCCCGTCCTCATGCTGTCACTTTCTATTACCTGGCCTTGTGGCTTATTGAGCTATGCTGCTTAGTGGGCAGAGTTCCAGGGCACACACTCTCCTCAGATCACAATTTAATTCACAGTTTCCCTTTGCAGGCCCACCCTATGAACATAAGCCCCAGACATTGCTCTTGCAAATGGAATTCATTGGTCTCCCTTCCCTTTAATCTGAGATTTTAATCTTCATTTCCCCTCAGCAACCGAGTTTTCTCTCAGCGAGGTAGATTTCTGAACAAAACACCCACCCGCAGCAGACCCATGCCGATTTCCTCTCTTAGAACTTCTCCTGGAAAGATGGAGAGAAACTTTCTCTAGGATGGCTCTCACTCAAACTGTACTGTCATAAACTGTCCTATCCCCACAAAACTCTGTTCTAATTCCTTAAAAAACTTATTTCTTAGGCTGGGGTGTAGCCTGGTACACCTCAAGTGGTAGAGCACTTGCCTAGCATGCATGAGGTCCTGAGTTAGTTCTATCCTCAGCATGGATTGGAAAAACAAAAAACAAAAGAAAATAAAAACTCCTTCCAGAAAGCCAAGAACTGTTCTCCCATTTTAGAAGCAAAACAACAGAAGCTGTGAGCTGGAGACACTCTATGGCCTAACGTGTCCTCTTATCTACTTTGTTTTTAAGGCTCTTCATCATATATTTATCCTTGCTGTGTAATTCTACCTCCTATGCACTCAAATATTCTTCCAATATGGCCTTATTTTTTAAGACTTCAAGCTTGGGACCATGTTGACTGGTTGTGAGGTGGGGTTCTCTAAGAAAACTCTAGCATCCAAAACTATTGGTAAATATTCTAAAAAGTGGTAGAGAACAGGATCAGAAAGCCATTAGCTGGAGGAATTCAGAGGGTAGAGGTGATTTCAGAGTATTTCATTTTTCCCCTTTGATGTCTGCCCTCTATATAACCCCTTTTCAATCCCTTATCTTGTTCTGATAGCAAGAAAAATTTATGGCAACCCAGAATTCTCTTTGGCAGGACTAAATATAATTTGTACAAAAGGATGGAGGAGGATACTGGAGTCTTTGATGATAAAACCTAACTCCAAACTTTCTGATCAGCAGAGATGGAGTCAGCCTTGGAGCAACCAGGTCAAGGCTGCCTGTGATATCACTGTTGTGGCCAGTGTATTGGAATCTACCCTGCAGTGTCCAAAAAAGATTGGCAAGAATCTCAGGTGAATCTCACTATTCTTTTTCTTGGCTGACTGGGGAGAAGCTAAGACTCAAAAGGTCAGTCACCTTGGAAATCACATTAGCAGAGTCATCAGGCTAAGAAAAGTGGCTCGGAGAAATTCCAGGGAGCAAGAAAGGAGTTGTAGGAGATGGCAGGAAGGTCCTTAGGAGGGCATACAAAGGACAGGACCTGGGAAAGTTCATGTAAGTTAGAGCTGAGCTAATTATGAAATGAAAATTCACCAGACACTGCCTCCTCTCCCCTTGTCTGCATCATTTTTTTTTTTTTAGGAATAATTTAGTCTCTGCTTCCTTTCTTTTCTTCCCAATCCACTTCTTTCCCTCTTGGATGGATTTGTAGTCCCCAGACTCTTGAACTCATTCCCTTCCCAACTGTTCTCCATTCTACCATGTCCTCCCAGCCCTCCCGTCTGTTAGGTATTTAGGGCCACTCTTGACCAGTGGTCTCAGAAGGAGCTCCAGGCTGACACCCTGAGTTCATCATGGACACCAGCTCTCATCAGTCTTGTCCTTGAGCTGCAGGACTTGGTTTAGCAGTGAACTATAGTCCTGACTTGCTTCCTGTTCTTGGCCACCTATCTGAACCCTACTCCCTCCAACCCTTAATATTCTGGCCTCTTGCTGGATCTCCAGGGCTGTGGCCAGCCATTGATCTTCACAGATGTTCACACCTGCATTTCAGCACCATCTGGGCCTGGCTTTGGAGGTTACCTGGCTGAGGACAAGCTGATGTTGCATATTTGCCTGCCTGCTGTCTAGGTGAGCACCTGGTGTCTACTACTAGCTGCTTTGTCCTGTGGGTTGAATGACCTCCCGTTCCTGCAGCTGGCCTGGAGAGTAGGCATGTTCACTAAATTAACAGCTGATAGAAATTAGAAGCATCACACCCAATTGATTATTCCATGCTGACAGGGACACTTGCAGCCTTAAAAGGGTGACAGAGGGGAGAAAATGTGGGGCTTCAGGGTCAGGGGGCCTAACTGGGCTGTTCTAACTATACATCATAACGCCTTTGTCTGAACTCTGATATATTTCCCAGCTTCTAGCTGCCATCTGTCCTTCCCTCTCTCTTAGCTGATCCTGCCCAGACTCTGCAGTGCACAAAGTAGCCAAAGAACTTCTCCCCATCATCATGTGCTTCATTCATACCCTCATCCCTTACCTGCTTCACCCCAGTCCCCATTCTCATGAGACCTACAAGTGTGCTCTTTGATCTAGCCTGCCTGCCCCAACAGACACAAACCCTTCTCCCCCTCTCCATTCCATGTGCTCTGGCTGACATAATTTCTCTCCGCTTATAGGATTTTTCTCTTTTAATAACTTTGGTCAAAACAAATGACCCGTCTTTGCTGACTTCATCCTCTTGAAATTTCAATTCTAAAATTTCAAAAAAGTCAACATTTTTTCCCTTGATTTATACCCTTAAACACTGCCTTTCTGCCCACACATGGGGTGTCCATCTCCATCTTCCTCACTAGATGCAGGGATACACAAAAAAGAAAAAAAAATCCCAGGTGTCAGACAGATAGAAAATATAGCCAGTTTCAAGAAAGGATCCATATACTGGAATCAAAGGAAATACACTGGTATCAAAGGACCTGTGGTCACTCTGGGCTGGTAGAGGTCATGTTCCCCTAGTGATTTTCAAGTCTGAAAGCTTTCTAGAGGCAGGGCCTCTACTTCAGGCAAAGCAGTACTGGTCTGGTCAGAATACCTATAAATGCTTTCATTGCAAGATGCCTTGAGAAACCCATGTTTGAAAACCACTGGTCCAGATGGCCTGACGCTGGGTTGTCTTTGTTACCAGGTCTCTCTACCACACTTCCTATTGATCTCTGCCTTGGCATCGCAAGGTGGTCAGGATGGGGAGAACAGCAGGGAGGCATCCTCTCTGTCACTAAATACCCTTGGATGAAAGAGACTCTTCTGATGCTTAACTGAAAGGTAGTTGGCTTCCTCCCTTGGCCTTCTGAAGTCATTTCATTTCTATGGAATATCTTCACATATCTGTAGACAGTTAGGGATCTCTGCTTGTGCCCAGCAAACCTTGACTTTTTCAGCCACTGCTCAGACCCTGGCTTGCCAGAGCAGTATCCTGTTAGTGAGACGCAGCTCTGCTTGGCTGTACATGAAGTCTGGGGTATAGCAGCCATCACTCTGTAGGATATCCTACTCCTGCCTAGAGACTAAGGCTAGGCCCTCCCTCCTCCATGAGCCTGCTTCCTCCTCAGAATAAGAAGAGGTTTACTCCAGATGCCCTACAGGCTTCCTCTAGCTTTAAATCTTTGAAGGAGATGAGGCCCCTGACAGGAAGCCCTATTCCCTTATCTCTCTAGATTTTCAGTCACTCTGAGATTATCATGCTGAATGATATGGGGTGTCCTTCACTTGTACTACTGTTCAGCTGATTATGGAGGCCCAACTGGGACTGACCCTCATTTCTTTTAAAGAATTTGATACAGAAATTGATTCAAAGGCCAATACCTTTTTCCTCCCAAAGTTTCCTGACTTTTAAATGTTTTAAATCAAGACAAAGTGTTGCCACTCTACAGCACCTGGCTCCTTGTCTTGGGGTCCCTGTTCTTCCATGGGGTTTTAAGATGATGCCCTCCATTTCCTGGTACCCCGAAGTTCCTGCCCCTTCCGAGGCCTGACTTCCCCAACATGGAGGACTACACCTTGGCACTGTTACCTCCAAAAGTTGCTGGAGTAGTTAGGGAATAGGGTGGTGCTGGGCAAGATTGGGGCCACAGAGAGGGGATGGACCCAGTCAGGGGTATCAGGGCTGGCCCTGAGGACCTCCCTCCCTTCCCCCCTCAACACCTGCACGGCTGGGACCTCCCTGTCGTACCTGAGAGGAGGGCCTGGCCCGTGAACTGCCCGTACACGGAGGCAGCATGGGGAAAGGCATTGAAGGGCGGGACCGAGGCACCGGCTGGGCCCCCGGAGCCGACTTGCTGCAGATCCAAAAAGGCGGAGCTAGATAAAGAGGAAGGGGTGGAGCTAGAACTGGACAGCTCTGGGGTTTCCTGCTTTATGGCGAAGGGTGAATGAGGATCTGCCGGAGGGAGGGAGACAACAAGGAGAGAGGGGTGTGAGATGATGGAGCGGGTACATGCACAAACCAAGCCATGAGATGTGGGGAGAGATGTGGCGGCGCGCAGGGGCAGGCAGGCTCAGCTGCTCTCAAAGTCTGGGGTGGGGAGGTAGGGCTACACGGTGTTCCTCCAGTTGAGTGAGGCCGGAGTGGGAAGCTCTACCTCCTTGCTGTGCCCTGTGCCTGTGTAGATGAAGAATTGGGCAGGGTGTGTGCCCGGCGTCTCTAGCAGGAGGAAGTGAGAAAAACCCAAGGGGCCAAGGGTGAAGGCATGACCCCATTGGTCAACTAAGGTCCAGCCAGCACAGCCCATCTCTCTTCTCCAGGCCAACACCCCAATCGCCTTCCTCCTGCCAGCCAGCAGCCTCTGTCTTCCCTTGCCCTTCGGCCCACCCTCACAGCTGGGTCCAGATGGCCCAGGACCCTCTGGGCATCCTACCTGCCACCACAGGGTAGGTCTGGTGAGCCGAGAGGTTGCGCCCCAAGGGTGTATTGGAAGGGGTCAGGGAGGCCTTCCCATCGTCCAGGGTGTTGTTGAGCAAGGGCAGCGGGTAGAGGCCCTGGAGAACAAACAGAAGTCAACAGGGCACAAAGAGGCCCCTGGGCGAGTCAGCCTTCCTACAAATCCTGCTGCCCATTTTTGGATTTAGCAACATTAATCTGCCCAGGAAAAGTTCCCTTCCTTATTGTCTCTTTCTTCCTATATCTCCTGAGCTATACTGGGCATGTTTTGTGGGATTCTATTCTCTGACTCAAAGCCCCATGAATCCCTAGTCCCTGGTTTAAGGTTTCCCCTCCCAGGTCCCAGAATCCAAGGCTAGGAGGGCAGGTATGGAATAGAGAGGGTCCTTTAGAGGACTGTGTCCTGGCTGGAGGTTTGTCTCATCTCTTCACATAATTTGAGCTCAGAGTGCGGGACACTGCCATAGGCTGAAGCAAGCTGCTCATAGGACTTTTCAGACTTGGTCACCCTATTATTAATGTATTCCTCTTCACCTGTAGAGAGCTGAAGAAACTCATGGCCCTCCCTTCTAGGGTGGAGCCAGGATTCAGTCTCCAGTGCCCCTGCTGTCAACTGTTGTCCTGAGCTAATGGCAATGACCACTTCTTATATTTGCAAAGAGCTGTCATTAGGGCTTTGCCTCTGTCGTTCTTATGGAGTTCCCCACTTCCCACTGCCCAGCAGCCCTATGACATGGATCAGTAAGATTATATGTTTTGTACACAGAGTCTGAATTCCAAAGAGTAAATGCTCCAGTTCTGTATATCGAAACAAGGACTAAACTCAGGACTTCAGATGCTGACTCAGATCCCCTGCCCCACAGAACAGTGGATTTTTCTCTCCATATCCAAGCAAATAGAAGCCTGAAGTTCAGCTTGAAAGATACTTGGGGTTAATTTTGTTTCAAAAACTCTTCATCAAGTGCTTGGAGGTTTTCTTCTCATTTTAGACTCCTACTTGGTTCTCCTGGCATGAGCCAGGCTATGGTCTAAAGTATTCCTTCAAAAAGGAACTTGTTCAACTAAAGGCAAGAGGATAACCCACCCTCTCCATGACTCTCTTCCACTAGGGAGGGTCAGCACACACCTGTTTCCCACATCACAATGTACTGTATGAAACATTGTGCAAAACTGAAATCAAAGAATGCTCCATGGTTACATAACATCTCTACTAAAGACAATTGCTTTGGGTGATTGCCATCGAGCTGGATTCTCCAAGGAGTCACAGCAGTTTCTGGTTGCATGCTGGGCACTTTTGGAAGCTGCAGTCAATTCTAGAGGCCACCAGGGCGCTATCGGCATGTAGCAGCAATTACTGACTAAATGGTGCTCTGGTTCCATTCCTTCTGAGGGGGCCCACTTAGAGGCAGGGTGGAGATGCTTAGAGCCTGGCTTCATAAAATTAAACAAAATACCAAATTTCTAGAAACTATAAGAAAAGTTTAAAGTGTTTTGTGGATATGTTGATTTTTACTATATTTTAAAAATATTTACTCAAAATCCAGTTTCTGTTCCAAATTCCAGCACCTCCCCAAAGAAACCTGTATAGAATCAAACATTTTAGACGCTGCATTGAATGGCTTAAACATCCCAAATGATAACTGGATTGTTTTCTGGGATTGAACTTGAATTGTGGGGCAGAGAGTACAATGCTTCAGAACTTGGATGAGTTAGAGCTCTGGATCTGCAATGATCTGGCAGGTAACTATAGTCTACTTTTCCTCCCTGAGCCTTGATTTTTCTCATCTGTACTAAAGGGATCATAAGGTCTACTTAATAAGACTGATGTAAGGATTAAGTGAGATTTTATGCACAATATTTTTATTAAGCATTTAGCACAGTGTGCTTGGTGACAATAGGTGCTCAATAAGTAGTGATGATAGGTATTATTATTATTATTATTCTAGGATTATGGACAGAGTCACAGGCTGCCAAGTTCTTAATCTTTGTCATTGTAAAATTCACATTCTACCAATCCACTTCTTGGTGGGCTTGTACGATAGATGAAGAAGAGCTATATGGACTCCCAACTATGTCTGGTAGGAAAATAGCAGGAGTGATGCATTGTTGAACACTTTCTCCCTTATTGATTTTCCAGACAAGAAATGTATGTTTTTGACCCATGCTAAGGTTAGGTGTGTTCACCTGTGTTTCTCTCTTAGCTCCCCAAGCCAGAGGGCCTTCCCATGCCCAGGGGAGAGAACAGTCAGTCACCAAAGGCATGGAAGGCAAGAGTTCAGACTCAGTCTGGACTCTCTCTGCCCCTTACAATCAAGCCTCGTGAATGAATGAGGGAAGGAAAAATTGATAAGGCACTGCTGTGGGCCTCAGTTTCCTTCTCTATAGGCTGAGGTGTGGGAGCAATTCAGTGGTCTTCAAATGCTTTTGATTTGTTTGGTTTTCAAATTAGAATGTACATGGAGGCGCTAGATCAAAAACAGGTCACAGTAGATTTGTCTGATGAAACCAGGGCTGGCAGGTCTGACCTCTGCAACCATCTGTTCCTCTGTGTCCCTCTGTGCTTCCTGGCCCTGGGTTGTCTCCATGCAAATAGAAAAGCTGGAATAGGTGCTTAACACCTAGGTGATGCTCTGAGAGACTAGGTGCTCTGAGTCTCTCATTCCAGGATTTCCATGTGTGCCCCAGCATGATACAGGAACTATCTGTAAGCAGGGTCTGTTGGGGGTACTTATGGATGGAGCCGGGAAATGGCTCTGTAACCCAACAAGTGCCAAGGTCTCCTCAGCAGGGTTTCTTTACTCCCAGGTAGCTGGTGTGTGCACACTGGGTCTTGCAGGCTTGCTCTCACAGGCCTACCACTGAGGTGCCACCTCCCTCCTGGATGCTCGCTCAGGCCTGCTCCCCAGCTCTGGTGATGGCTGGCTTTCTCTGTTCCCTTCCTAGTTGTCACAGCCAAGGCTGATAAGATCGCTGACGCAGATTGCCTGCCCAGCTGTGGGGGCTGGCACAGGGCCAGCAGCCCAGCCAGTCACTGGCAGTGGTTCAACTGATTATTGGCATCATCACCATTGTCATATTCAGATCTTAAAGGCATACATACAGGCTTGTATCACTTCTGGATCAAATGATAGTGTGAGCAGAGAGGGACAACAGACCCCACCCTGAAGATACTCCTCAGTGTGTTGACTTGGTGCACTGAGAAGAGGCCAACACCAAAAAACGCTGACAGATAATAATGAACTGAGCTCTGTGGTTGTCAGCTTTTAGAGTTGTTGGCCCTGGGGTAGGACCTCTCACATCTCTGTCAGCTTTTCCCAGAAGCCAAGCTATTATAATCCATTTCACCTGTCTTGAATGCTGGAACGAAACACTCCCTGCAGCTTGTGATTTATTGTTCTGGATTCTTCCATTCATTCATTTGTTCATTCACTTGATATACTTTTATTGAGTTGCTATTAAAAAAGGAGCATTAGGCACTACTGTAGCTAAGCAGTACTGGGCTTGCCTAAGTGTACATAAAGCTATAGGCTTGATCCCCAGCACCACTAAATAAATGAACTAATGAATGAATGAACGAATGGATAAACAAACAAACAAACAAACAAATAAAAGCACAATGTTTGGTACTAGACATAAAAACAGTGTCCTAGCAGGCTTCCCTGTCCTTTAGAAATCTGCTGTGTCTTTACTCCTCTGTCCATCGATTATTACGATGCATGGTGAGAAGTCACTAGGAGTCACACATGGGACATGCAGCATTATAGAGGCTGGAAGGATAAATCACAGCGGAAGGACTTGGATGGATTCACAGTGCGGATGATTGAGCTGAGTCATAATGGCTAAGTGGTATTTTTCCAGGCGACAAAGTGGAAGGAAAGGCATTCTACCAGGATGGCACATAGTGTACAAGGGCAGAGAGGTGAGAACATGCCATGCTTGAGGACATGAGTAATACAGGATCCTGAGGCATACAAGGAGAGTTGCCAGAGGTGGGGCTAGGAGTACTGTTGAGGTCATCGTGGAAAGGCTTCAAGCTGCCACTCTAAAGTTGTAGGGTCTGACCCGTCTGGGAAAGCCACTGATGGCAAAAGGTGGCTCTTACTGAAAGGACCAAGCTCAAAGTTCAGATGAGAGAAGGTAAGAGTGTTGGGAGATGAAAAAGATGCCAGACTTCTGGCAAAAGAAAACCAGTGTCTGGCTGGAAGCTGCATGAAGCACATGCCTCCAGCCCACGAAGCAACTTTGTGTTGCTTTGGTGGCAGGAGAGCACACCTTGCTCCAGCTCTTGCCCACTCCTGCTCACCTCCTGCAGCAGCCTGACTCCTCACCTGCTCGCCTTTGGTGTGGCTGGGGGAGGCATAGGCCTCTGGGTAGTGCTGTCGCTCAAAAGGGCACTCAAGTGGCTCGAGGTGATGCTGGCTGAAGGCGTCCGTGCGAAGATGCTTTCGGGGCCCACTGCTGCTGCTCTGAGAGTCGATGCTCAGCCGGCAGCTGTCCTGGTCACCTGGTGCCCCGGGCAGGAAGAAAACTTTCAGGGGACCCATCTACCCACCCCCTAGGCCAGAGCAGAGGAGCAGATAAGATGAAGAGGGAGGGAAAGGGCCAGGCTCCCTGACTGGCAAAGCCAGTTAAGAGACAGGGCATGTGACTCTGCAAGTCACTGCAGAGCCCTACCAAGCCTGGGACATAAACATAAAAGGGCTTTTGTCACCATCAAAGTCTGAAACTACAGTCCTTTCCACTCTCTTGTACCCCTCAACACTTACTGTCATCCATCTTCCTCTTGCTGTCACTGCCAGGCTGAGCAATTCCCAGGAGTCCATTGATGGAATAGGTGGAGCCAAGAGAATCCGACTGCGGTGACTCAGGGGGTGTTACAGCTGAGCTTGGGACTGCAGAAGATTGAGAGGGAAAGGATCAGGACCTGGTGGTAATAGTCCCTGCTGTTACCATGGGAGACTGCTGTTGGGAGCACACAAAATTTTGTGTTGCAAAATTTTATTTTATTCATTTATTCATATGTGCACACGATATTTGGGCTATTTCTCCCCCCAACCCCCCTACTCTCTCCCCTCACCCCCTCTTGCTTCCAAGCAGAATCTGTCTTAGAGTCATGTTGTCTGAAGTGTTTTCTACCTGTCCACATAGCAGTGTATTTTCCATGGGAACTGTTAGGCTTGGTGTCAGTGCACTAGCTCAGTCTGCACATGGGCTTAGTAGTATATGGGGTGTGTTTCTGTGGGTGTGTCTGTGTGTCTCTACATCTGTGTGAATAAGTAGAAGCGAGTAGGTATACAAGGGTGTTTAAGCACCCAGGTCCTTCAATACTCACTCAGTGTGTGTCCTGGGCTCAGAGACTTGGTGGCCACACAGCTGTCCATGGGGAGGTTGAATGGTTGCTGCACTTTGGTCCGAATGATTCTGTGAGGAAGAGCAGAAAGGCCATTAGAGAAAAGGGGAAGAAACAGAACCCATGGCTGTCCTGGATCAAGTCATCATTATGACATTCCACTTAGGTATCTTCAATAAAGGCATCTTCTACTCAACCAGTCCATAGCCAAACCCACAACCTCACCCCCTAGTCAGTTCCATGCCCCATTTCATGATTGGAACCCTGGGTCACTCAAGGCAGAAGTACAGATAGGAATTAATATCTGCCTGCCTCCCTCTCTGTCAAACTCATCACCAAATTCTGTAGGTCTGACCTTGTTAACCTCTTCAGTGTCCCCCATCTTTGCCTCTCACTGATAACACCTTTGTTCATGCCATCACTAACTCTCTCCCTCCAAGGTCTCTCTCTGGCCTGTCCCATCCACTCCTCACTCTCTTTAATTGATTCTTCCTATTGCAGACAGTGTGAGCTGTTGAAATATGATCCAGCCTTCTGCTTAAAATATGTCAAGGGATCCCCGTTGTTCATAGGTCAAAGGCAAATATATATAAATGGCCGTCAGTCCCTAGTGGAAAACTCATGCTCCCTTTCTCTCTCTCTACTGGCTTTCTTTCAATTTTTTATGTAAGATTTTGTTAGCCACAGTGCCTTTGCATTCACGGTCTCAGAATACTTTTTGCCCACTTAACTCTTACTCATTATTTTTTACTTACGGGAAGTCTTTCATAACTTCTGAGTTATGAAACCAAGTCACCCTGCTGAGGTTCATTTCCTCAGCAGAACTTGGAGCTGCATTTTTATAATGTCTGTGTGAGTTCTTGGTTTGTGTCTGTGTCCCATTAAACTGGAAGCTCCATATGGAGAGGGCTTGTGTGTCCCCAGGGCTTGTAGATAATAAGTGAATGACTTATGTGTGAATGAATTAATGAATGACTGATTGAGTAGGTAAATAAATGACTGAGGTAGTGAGTGAATAATTGAAGGACTAAACAAATGACTGAGAACTTGGGTGAGGGCCAGATTAGACATCAGGAAAGGATCAATCCAAGAGGATTTCTTTTATTGAATGAAAGAGGATGTGGTGCTTGAGGAGGGGAACAATAGATAGCACACCATGGTGTGGGAGCAAAGGAGGCCCCGCAGCATGACCAAGTAAGGAAGGGTAAGGGTGATACCTGAAGGATCAGTGATTCTTTAGCATGAGGCCAGGCCCCTTCCCAGTCTCTGCTCTACTCAGCTGAGGCCCTTCTTTCATGCTTTCTACAAAGCCCTGGCCCAGCCTATGCCACAACTTGCTATCTCTCACCTGTTGATGGAGCTGACACTGGGCACTGTGTCATTGTCGCAGACTCCTTCAGCAAGGAGACGGTCTCGGATCTCCCAGGCAAACATCGTGGGGTTTTGCCTTTTGTAGTCACCAATCTTCTCCACCACCTTAGGGGTGGCCACCTTGGGCTTGGAGCCCCCTATCACTCCAGGCCGGATGCTGCCAGTCTCGTAGTACCTACTCCAATAGAGAACCCCAAAGAATTACCCAATAGGCTGGTAGGGCCTTTAGGCAGGGACTTAGCCAGAACCTCTCCCCACTGTGAGACTTCTGGGGAGGGGTGTGGGAGTAAGTCCTGCCCCCCAGGCTGACCTTAAACACTTAGTGTTCTCAGAACGGCCTGTTTCCCTTGCTTGGGTAGTTTATGCTGCTGCCGAGCCAGAACCCTCCACCAAAGCCTTACCCTGGCTTCTCTCTTTACCCGTCCCCAGGGAGCCAGCTGAGTTCACTGGGTCCTTTGCCCTGCCTTGATGGTTCACCTTTGCTCCTTCTGTTCATGTCTGAGCCATATCCCTTACCCCCCTGCTTGCTGGTTTTCTGTCAGGTTTCCTGCTCAAGTTGAAGCTACTCCTTTTGGCCTCTGGAGTCCCAACCTTACTTGGATTCCTGGCTAGGTCTGGCTCCTCCAGCTAAGCCTCTTCCTCCAGGGCCTTGGCTTCTGTCCTGTCTCTACCTCCCAACTAGCTTCTTTGGTTAGTCTACCCTCTTCTCCTTGTAGAAATCCTCTGATCTCTTTTGCCATGAATAAAAACATATTTGGCTCTTTAAAATTCCATTAATTTGTCACCTCCATCCAGAGCCTATTTTCTCTCTAGGAGTCCACAGCCATGTCAGGGATCCCCAATCCTTGATGCTAGCAAAAGGCTACTTTTTCAATGATGATTTCAGGTTGGGAGCCAAAGCTTTCCAGGGTTCATTACAGTCAAGGACTCTTTGCCTCCTCTGACCACAAGTCCCCTTGAGTTCACATATGGGTTGGAGAAGGGGGATGGGTACTCAGCTCTGACTCAATGCCCTGAATGCTCTGACACAGGATGTTTCTGGTGGAAGAGGCTCTTCCAACTAGAATTATTCATGGAAGCCTTTGCTGTTCCCGGCTCTCCTGAACCTGTGGGCCAGTGGTTCTCAACCCTGGCTGAAGAAAATTAGCTTTACTTGGGAGTTAGGGGGCTAACAATATACCTAAACTTGAGTCCACTCCTCTGAATTTGTTGGGGCTGGAGCCCCGACACTGATTTTTATTAAATTAAGATTTTCAGGTGCAGTCAAGGCTATGAACCACAACACAGGTCTTACAGATCAGTGGTTCTCAATCTTTTATGTTCTTGAGTGTCACATGCTTATATCACAAGAGTCACAGTATCTAGGTCCAACTTCCAGAGAGGTTGATTCAGTAAGGCTGGGTTGGGGCCTAGGATTCTGTATTCCACCACCATCCCCCCACTGCTCCTGTTTCAGGTGCTCTGGGAGTTATGGTTTGAGAAGCACAAACTCAGATGTCCCTTTGCAGATTAGAAGTCACCTCTGACAGTGTGTCCCCTCCCTAATGTCTCTATTTCCCTAGGTCTCATCAGGGGAAGGACCTTTGGGGATGTTTGTCCTGCTTCAGGAGCAGAGATAGCTATAGAAAATGAGGCTTAGGCTGAGGGAGAAAAAGAAAGGCAGAAATGGACAAAGAAGGAAGGAAGGATAGGAAAACAATAAAAGAGTAATGATGGCATAGGCCGGGAAACACTGCCATACCTTGTTCAGAGCCAGGACTAAACCTGGACATTGAGAACAGACATTGGGTAGGCAGGCTTGTAGCCATGAGGTTGGCTACAGAGGCAAGCCCTACAGGGAAGGCAGTGTGTGGTGAATTTCGTGCTTACCTGCCAAGGATCTTGCTGACACAGCCATGGCTGACTCGGAGCTGGCGAGAGATGTCACAAGGCCTCACACCCTGGTGGGCCAGGTCTACTATTCGTTGGCGAACCACTTCTGGCAGGGGTCTGCCATTCACAAAGGCCCCTCCCAGCTGGTTTAGCCCTCCATGGCCTAAAAAGACAATATTCCCAGGAACAGGTGTCAGGGCTAGGCAGTGAGGCTGGGTAAGAATAAGCCAAGAGTCTGAGTTGTAAGTGTGGGTGACTGAGACTGTGAACTCCATGGTCAGGTCATCCAGCACTCCCCCACCTTTATCCCCTCTGGCTTTGCTTCCAGGGAGGCTGGCAAGGGTGGTATGTGATGCTTATACCACCTATGTGATAGCTCAAGAGGGGCCCATCACAACACCTGGGGACTCTTCTTCAGACCCTCGGTCCTTCACTCCAAATATCCCTATTTGCTTCCCTCCATCTGAAAAGCATGTAAGGAGTAGATGATTCAGGGTTTTTCTGATGATGACACTAAGGTGAGTGACCTTGAGGAAAAGTTCCCTTTCCTCCCTGGGTTTCCTTTCCTTTTCTGTAAAATCTGGGCACAGATGAAATCATTTTTTTCCCCATTAAGCCACAGAACCTGATTTTTAAGCACAAATACAAAAGACAAAAAATCAGAGCTTTTCTTGTTGAAATGAGACGGTCTTGTCTGTGGGTGTCCTGCCTGAATGACCCCTGAGGTTTCTTTTCTCTCTAAAAGAGCAAAGCACTAAAAACCAGGGCTGAGACCTCACCAGGCCACATCCCATGGGTCTAGGACTGCTGTACTGGCCTGCAGGTGGCTTGTACATTACACAGCTTAAGCCAAGCCTTAGCTTGACTTGATCTCTGCCCCTTGACCTGAGCCTATATTTCATTCTGATCCCATTCATCTAGTCAAAACTGTATCTCCTGAGTGCTTACTCTGTGCCAGGTAGTGCAGGTGCAAAAGTGAATAAGGCACACTCAATACCTGCTCTTGCCCAACAGGAGCCTAGACCAGTAAATAGCTAATTAACTTCCCTTGTGACAATCCCTGCAACCAGGGACCTAAATAGGGATATGGGAATCAGTGGAGGGGACCACAGAAGGATTCCTGGACAAGTTAAGCTGAAACTGAAAGTCAAGAGGTGCTAGCTAAGGGAGAGATGAGAGAGAGAGAGAGAGAGAAAAAAATTCCAGGCAGTGGGAAAAGCATGAGTGAAGGCTTCAGGTTTCAAGGTTAAGTGGGCTTGTGTCTGTTAGATTTACCAACATAATCAACTGTAAAATCACTACATCCATGCTGGTATAATTTCAGGGGCAAGATCCAAAAGTCCCTCCATTTTATTAACCAGGAAACTGGGGAGTTTCAGTGACTTGATTTATATGACTTGAATGACTCAGCTTATATGAGGAAGAGCCAGAATCCAACCAAACTTTAGGGCTTCCTGTATAAGCCCTTCTTCTATGGCCACAGTTGACCCTGGTACCTCCCTGCAGGGGTCAGCCCTGAAGTCTTCTGCTGACAGTGCATTTTTTCACACCGGGGTATGATTTGGTGATCTGGCCTGAGGTGATCAGAATCCTGAGAGGTGGAAGTCAGAGGAAGACGGCAGGTAAGAACCAACACCAGGTGTTCTGTGTGAGCCAGTTAAGACTATTTATGACCATTGGTGGGAAGTACCTTTGCTGGGCACACAGTGCCCATTATCACCCACTGACTTAGCACATTCAGAACTGCCTTTCAATGTCTCCTCAGGGGCCCAAGCTGTCTTAAGCAGAATAGTCAATTTCCCTTAAAACAAACAAACAAAAATGCTATAAGCCTCTGCCCTGGGCAGTAAGTCAGGAGGACAAGCCCTCTGGTCAAACACCCAGTATGAGGGACATGATGATCCATTTTCCTGGTGGAAGCAACTAGGTGAACCTGGGAATAGCTTCTACCTGTCCTGTTCTAGGCCACTTGTCCCAGTGAGTGCTTTTCCACCAGAGCTGGGACAAAGTATGAAGGGCTTTTATCAGAGCATAGATGGTGGGCAAAGTGGCCCTTACTCACTCCTTAGCCCATTCCACTGCCCGCTCACTGGTCATACTGCCATTTATAGAGAATTTGGCCTCTCCTGCCATCATTATTGCCATTGGGCTATTTTGGATCTAGACACTGAACACAAGGGGGCGCCAGACAGCCACCCAAACAAGACCTTGCACCTGTTGTTTTGTCCCCATTTTCCAGAACTTTCACTGCTTGTCCATTGAGGCTTGTGTTATTGCTAGAACCTCTATCTGGAAGAGAGATTTCTTACAAGTGGGAGTTCTTCACCCCTAGCAAACAGCAAGTATTCCAAAAAGAAAATAGAAAGCCATTTTGGATGGCATGATCGGGCATTTTGTCTTTAAAAAAAAATTGACCAATGTAATTCTCCAATGTAAACTGTGCAGGTTAAAATCCTAAATTATCCTGAACAGCTGACTCAGCACCCTTAGAAATCTAAATCCTCAGGAACCTTACTGAAGGTTATTCACCATATCAACCAGCATCGTGCAGGGAGAGCTGTAGTCACATCTCTGTCCTCGGAACTGTGAATTCTCTGGGGCTTTGTTCTATTTTCCTGGTTTCTGAATGATTTTGTATTGCTGTGGAAAGAGCCTAGGGCTAGATTCCTGAGTTGACTGTGCTTGTTATTTATTTATTTGTTTGTCTGTTTATTCATCATTCGTTCATTCATTGAGACAGGGTCTTCCTGTGTAGCTCAGGCTGGCCTAGAATTCACTTTCTGTTTCAGTGCCCCTAGTATTGGAATTATAGACATGTACCATCACAACTGGCCTACTTTACCTGTTTTAGTCTTATCATTTGAGAAAATAAGGTTATTTTGTTTGTTTGTTCTTGACTGTAGTATTAAATGGAGCTTAACAAAACTTCGTGTTACCCTTGCTGTGGTCCTACAATAACTATTATAGGAAGACAGGAAATTGAGAATGGAGAAGTGTTTGGTTGGCTGAAAATCTTGATATCAATGTAAAGTTTTCTAATTTTTAATATTCACATTGTTGAGTACTATGACCCAAGCTTGACCCTAGGACTTGGGTAGTAGTTCTCAAACTTGAGAGTGCAGCAGTCACTTGGAGAGTTTGTTAAAACTCAAACTGCTGAACACAATGCCCTGAGTTGCTGAATCAGTAGGTCTGGGATGGAACTAGGAATTTGTGTTTCTAAGAAGTTTCTAGAGGGTATGAATTCTGCTAGTCTGGGAACCACACATTGAGGATCACTGGTTTAGGCTAGGCAAAGGGCAATGGCTGATAAAGAAAATTTAAGATAACCATTTCTCATATTCTCCACTCCTCTAATCTTCTAAGAATTAATATTTGTATATTATGGTTTCATTTCTTTTCAACTTAACACATTAACCAAATGCCAACAATGACTCAGATATAAAATGCTGGGTAGATAGCCATGAACAAGGCAAAAATTCTGGCCTTAAAGGTACTTAACCCCTTTTAGGGAATGTGTTCAGATAAATCAAGAATCGCTCTGTTTTCCTTTGGTAAGTCTAGGTGCTTGGGGAGCCCACAAATGGCCAGAGGGAAGGTCCAGGGTGGAATGTCTAGGAGGTAACCAAGTGAAGAAGTTTCCATAGAAAAGAAGAAAAAAAAATCCATGCATAAGATGTTAGTGCTTTGAAGAAGTTGAACTACATTTATTGTGGCTGTAGGACAGGCAGGAAGGAGAGTTTGGAAAGGGCCATCTGACTGCATATGAAGGTGGCCCTTATGGTCTGAGGTTTCGAACTGAGTCCTGTAATGGAAGGACTTTTGTCTTTCCTGTGTCCGGTGTGGGGGAGTGGACTCTTCTAGGTGAGTCACCACCAACTGCCCAGATGTGGGTGCAGGCTTCCTTCCTGCCCTGGGGAGGGGGTGGAGGGCCTGGGATCCACTGTACTGACCCCCTTTCCATGCTCCTGAGAGGATGAGGGGAGGGCCTTGAGTCTGGAAGCCAACAATGAGTAGGAGCCCCCTGGTTGGGCAAGAGATGGGGTGGGAGGAAGGTATGAATCAGGAAGAGGTTTGAAGGTTCATAAGCAAAGGTCCTTTGCATTTCTGGAGGATATTGGGTAGGGAAAGGTGGATGTGTAGGAAGAAGACAAAAGACTGCCTTGCAGAATGCAAGCAGGTTCCCAAGTATATAAGTCCTCAGTCAGAGAAATGCAAGCTTTCCTGGGTGAGAGAGGACTTAAAGTAAAGGTATCTGGGGTTGTGTACATCTCTAGGTGAAGCTTGCTGTACAGCAACGTATCCTTTGGAAAAGTGATCATTTAATTGAGATTCAAAGACTTCCTTTGGTAATTTCATTACCTCTTAGAAGGCTCTGCAAAGTAGGGATTATAGAAAGAAAAGGAGGCTCATTGCCTAAAATTTCATTATGTGCACTGATATCAAACCTTGAAGATGTGAGGTTACTTTTCCTGTTCCCCAAAGTCCTTTGCACAAATCCCTATCATGCACTGACTGAGAGTGACTTTACCTGTTTAGATTCCTTTATGAATTCCTCAAGGGCAAGGGCCCTGTCGTTGTCTATGCAACATGGGACACAAAGTTTAATTAGTGTTTTAGTGTATACATGTGTCAGAAAAATGTTTTATATGTGATGGCTGTTGCAGGGGTTCCCAGAATTCCCCACTGTTGACCCTCAAATTTCACACTACAGGACTTTCCTCTTTTTTTTAATCTGCTTGGTCCCTTGCAGCCCTAAAGTGATAGTGGTTCAGTGTGTTGTTCTGAAAAAAAAAATCTATTTAACACTCTGGGGTCTTTTGCTTTAGCTCTGAAAAGAGTCAGGGTGTGTAGGAGCTTGAGCCTTGGCAGTGCTGTGGTGAGAGGTGCAGTGGCTGCTTTGGGGTCCCCTTTGCCAATGCTGGTCATTCTCTGATGTTTGCAGCCCTACATTGTTATTCTGTTGCTTGCTTGCAAATCTGTAATCCTCTTTGCAACCTCACAGCTGCTCCCTTGGCTTGATGTTTTTCTGCTTAAACTGCTCCTGAATAAAATGTCGCAGAACCATGGAATCCTAGTGTCCCAACTCTGCACACCCAATTACTCCACTTCCATGAGGTCATGGGTTGCTTAGGCACTTCAGACCCTCAGACCAGAACAAAG